CATGAATGTGGCTGGAGCAAGCAGTACAAGTATTTCTAAAAATTAAGAAACATTGTTTTCCTGAATAATATAAGTCACTGAGGTTGATAGGAATGCATTAAATAGTTCTTTCTTTAATTCGTTAAATGCAGAGAGAAAATTGTTAAAAAGAAGTGTGGGTGATTTTTAATTATACATTCATGAACAATGGCTAGTTGTCATTTCTATAAATTTTGTGGTTTAATATTATGCTTAGGGGTATGGTGCTGCCAGGAGGTCAATCTGTACCTGTGAGGCGAGTGCATCAGCAGCCTGAGTGCGTCAGGCCTTCAGATACCCCAAAATTGCTGCTGTGCCTTTGGCCAGACCCCAAAGACTTGGGGCAAAGTTTACCAAGAAAGTAAACGGTCAAAAGTTAGGTATGTGGGAGACACAACCACAAACCACCTCTGGCTCAGCTATATAATTGGAGGCATGGACTCTGGTTCCTGATCGAACTGCTTAATGGCCCTGATCCCAGAGACTCAGAAACGAATCTCGGAACCCAAAGGCTTTTGGCAGAAATGTGTCCTGTTCCTGCAGTACGTTACTGGGGCTGGGCCACTTCAGGTAGGAATAGGTTTTGTGCCTTGGCCTGTTCCCCTTGGCAGTCTGGTGACCGCTATCCTCCAGAGGCCACTGGACAGCCAGGTTTGGGCCTGCAGTGACAAGACACACAGGGCCTCACCAGATGGGGGTGGAACCGGCCCTTTCCTCCCCATCCCAGCGAGACCCCGAGTTGCCGCCTACAAATGGCCTCTCTGGCTCCTGATTAAGCTGATTGATGGCCATGATCCCAGAGACTCAGAAACAAATATCGAAACCCAGCAGCTGTTGGCAGAAATGTATGTGGACCGCATACATGGCCATGGGGCTCCAGAGGCAAAAGGACTTAATCCAGAGCCCAAAAGCTTGCAGCAGAAAAGTGAATGGACCATGCGTTAAACTATAGCACCATGCCTCCCCAGGAGGTAAAGGGTGTTGCTCCCTTCTGTCTTTCTCCCCGCTGGCAGCAAGGTGGCCGCCCGGCCTCAGAGTTTATTGAAAAGCCAGGTATGAGCCGGTGGTGACGGGGCAACTGCAGTCTCATGGGAAAGGGGACGGTACCGACTCGTCCTTCATGCCCTACTGAGGTCACAAGTTGTCCACACGAGCAGTTCTTTAGCAAGGCCATGACTCCAGAGGCAAAAGGACTTAATCCAGAGCCCGGCAGCTTGTGTCAAAAAAAATGAATGGACCCTGCGTTAAACTACGGCACCATGCCTCCCCGGGGGGGAAAGGATGTTCCTCCCTTCCACCATTTCTCCCCCATCCCTTGGCAGCAAGGTGGTCGCTGCCTCAGAGCTTATAGGAACCAGGTAGGAGCTGGCGGGCGGTGATGGGGCAACTGCAGTCTCATGGGAAGGGGGTTGGTACCGGCTCATCCTTCACCCCCACCGAGGTCCTGCATTACCTCCCACGAGTGGCTCTCAGGCACAACCATAACACCAGACGCACAGAAACCAATCTCTAAATTATCTGGCTCTTTGCAGAAATTCAAAATTGCGTGGCCACAATAGTGGCCACAGAACATTATATATTTCTCATATAAAATGAGATATTATTCTCATAACCAGCTATAGAAAAAAAAGCATTTCACAATGCCTTTTCAGCAATTCTGATTGTTGGGGGGGGGATTCTAAACAATAATGGTCTATCTTTTGTCAAAATGATGAATGTAATCAATGTAGAGAAGAGTTAAGTAGAAATCATCTGCCTCACAGGCATTGGGTGGGGTAGGAGGTGGGTATATTGGGGTTCTTGATGGTGAAATGTGAGTACTGGTGAAAGGAAAGGTGTTTGATCATTGTATGACCAAGACTTAAACCTGAAAGCTTAGTAACTTTTCCCGCAGTGATTCAATAAATAAATATAAGACGAAAAATAAATAAAACTGTGAAAAAAAAAGTAAAGTGGAGTTCATGCCCAATTCAATAAGCTTATCAGTGGCTGAATAAATGGCAGTACTCCTACATAAAAAATAAAAAATAAATAAATAAATAAAACTATGCTTATAAGTATGAGAGTGATATTTACTTTTCAGTTATTATATATTTATGCCATGTGTGCTGTTTATAATTGTAAAATTCAAAATTTTTATTGCCTCTTTTGTGTTGCAAAAGGTTACAGAATATGTGATGAACTAATCTATGAATATACTGGTTTCACATTCACATGGCAATAAAATAAAATGTGAAATTAAGAGATAAGAGAGTGATTATTCAAAAGTTGAGCTTGTTTTTATCTCTACAACTTATTTTTTGTAATTTTCTATTATAAATACTAATTAAGGCTTTTGGCTTATGCTCTTTGATGAATTAGTAATGATTTCTCAAGAGTATTTCAATGAGTAAAAGATAATAATGTCACTAATTTAATAAAAATGTGATTTAAGGACATAATAAGGTTGAATATGATTTATAGTCAAAAGATTTATAAGCAATAACAATGCTATAGAAAATTTTACCTTTACATGAAAAAGGTACATATGAACACTAAACTTATTTTTTTGTTTTTATTTTATTTATTGAGAACTATTGGAGTTACTTTATACTTTAAAATGTTTAATTGCAGTTTGTCTTTTTTTTCATTGTGTTGATAATAGCACAAAGATAAATTGATAAGGCATATTTATTGTCTTATAAAGTATATACAAATGTTAAAACCAAACATAAAAGAAATTGTTTCAGAGCTTAATTTGATGACAAAAAAATGAATAAATGATTCGGTCCGGTCCTCCCGTTGTTCACCAATTTGCTCGAGGGGGCCCAGTAACGTCTCCATCATGAAACTTGTTGTTACTGTGTTTGGCATATCGAATACGTCACGGGGAGCTTGCCAGGCTCTGCCGTGTGGGTGAGATACTCTTGGTAGCTTGCCTGGCTCTCCGAGAGGGACGGAGGAATCGAACTTAGGTCGGCCATGTTGACTGTGTGCAAGGCAAACGCCCTACCGCTGTGCTATCGCTCAGCGGGTAGGGCATTTGCCTTGCACGCAGCCAATGAATAAATGAATAAATAAACATTTAAGTATCCATTTACGATTGACTTTAGAAAGGAAACATTCACTCAGAGTTCATGTGAAATAAACTCATTGCTTTGGCATTGATAAACAACTAAATTATTAAAAAATATAGTTGAGTCCTTCCTCTCTCTCTCTCTCTCTCTCTCTCCCTTATCCCTCCCTCTTTTCACTTTCTTTCTCTCCCCCTCTCACTTTCCTTTCTCTCTCCCTCTCTCCCTTTTTCTCTCATTTTCTCTCCTTCCTCTCTATTTCTTTCCCTCTCTCTCTCTCCTCTCTCTCTCTTTCTCTCTCTCTCTTCACACCTGGCTGATAAAATTACATATAATCTTTAAAGTAAAATAAAATAAGATAAAAAATACAGTTGATTAGGAAATTCTTTTCTACACTTGGATTAAATTTTAATTGTTGTATTCAAATCATATCTGACAATGTGACCCAAGTTCTACCTCAAAGTCTATACTGTTAAGCACATACGTAAAGAAACAACAGGCTGGAGAGATAATACAACCGGAAGAGCACTTGCCTTGCATGTAGTTTATATGGTCCTATATGGTCCCCTGAGTCCCTCCAGGAGTCATTCCTGAGGGCAGAGGCAACTGTAAACTCTGAGTATGACAGGCTTTGTGCAAGAAACAAACAAGCCAAAATTATGACATCTCCTGGCTTGTTCAGTTGGGAGAGCATGAGACTTAAACAAAGAAACAAAACTAATCATAAACGATCTTTCAAATATAAATTATTGCTACTGAAATTGAATTTATGCTACTGGTATAAAGTGATCAAATCAGTTGTTCTCTAGATTTGTGGAAGTAAGACTTATAGTAGAAATATTTGAGAACCTGCCAATTAAAGAGTAAGAATAGGACTATTACATTTTATGTTAGAATGATATTTATGATTATGAACAAATGTACATACATAGTGCATTGATAAAATTTTTATATTTTTTCTTTTATCACTTGAACAAAGATACTCAAACAGTTTAAAACTAAACTGTTTTATAACAGCAATGACATCATAGTATAAGTCATTCTGATTTGTAAAATGTTGAAATCGTGATATAACTCTCATTTACCAAATCACCTATGCACTTCAATTTTTGGAACAGTATTTTTATTATTGGTACCCATTAGTAATGTAGTGGGTTTTCTTTAGGATGACTTTCTTATCAAACAAGAGATGCAGATCTTTAAATGTGTATTGTCTATATTGCAGAGGAACTAAGAGAAAATTTCAAATGAGATTGAGGTGGTTTTTTCTATGAAACCGGAGATATTTCAAATATCTAGCTAGAAAATTGCATTTTTGTGCTAAGATTAGGGAGAATGAGGATTATGAAAAATGTAAAGGGAAGAAAGAGGAGAAAATGAAGAGAGAATAAGAGAGCAACAGAGACAGAACTGCTGGAATGTCAATAGCAACTGCTGAATTCAGTATTGTAATTCTAAGGATTTTTCTAAGAAATCATGTAATAAATTTAACATCTTGTCCCACAAATGCTGTAGCAATTCTTATGGAATTACCTGGGAAAGAAAATCCACAACAAATCCTCCATTAAAAGGTTGCGATAATTAACATTTGGTTATTTAAATTATCAGAGAAAAACTGGATCTGTGAGGATAATCAGGATGTGTAGCTGAATTCTGATTGCGAAGATTTGTTGACAATCCTTGGTTCTGCTATGTTCATAAAGGATATTAGCCTATAATTTTCTCTGATTTTCTTGTCATATTTCTATTGACTTTGGGAATCAGGATAATGTTAAACAACTAGATTTTCTATTTGTTCAATTTTTGTTGGAGATGATTAAGAAGGATATGTAAATAAATCATCTTTACTGTTTGGAAGATTTCTTTAGTAAATCCAAATAAATATGATGTTTTGGTTTTGGGAAATTTTATTTATTTATTTTTATTTCACATCAGAAGGGTAATATTCCAAATGTATAATGAGATTTAAGAGAGACACAGTTCACACAAATATGTGAGCATCCAATCAACATGTTTATGAACTGGAAGGGTCTGAGATTTTATTTTTATTATGTTTCAATTTCATGCATGCAATTGGTTTATTGAGTTTTCTACTTCCTCCTGATTTAGTCTTTTGATATATTCCTTATTTTGGAGGAGCAATGTCTTTTATAACACCACTTTTTGTGTATTTGATATGATTTACTCAGGTTTCATCTTTTTTCTTTGAGTCTAGATAAAAGATTCATCAATTTGTGTATTCTTTTAAAGAGACATTTGTTGGTTCCATTAATATTTTTATGTATTTTAAAATTATATTTTATTTTACTTCTACTCTAACTTTTATTATTCCTTTTTTTCTACTGATTTAGTACTCATATGTTTTTTTCTAGTTCCTTATGATGTAAAGTTAGATTGCTCAAGCCATTTATTTTTTCTTTTTCTTTTTTTGTAGGAGTACTGCTATTTATTCAGCCACTAAGTAGCTGATTGAATTAGGCATGAACTCCACCTTGCTTTTTTTTCATAATTTTATTTTACTTTTTTCTTCTTATATTTATTTATTGAATCACTATGAGAAAAGTTACTAAGCTTTCAGGTTTACGTCTCAGTCATACAATGATCAAACACCTTTCCCTTCACCAGTACTCATTTTTCACTACCAAGAACCCCAATATACACCCCTCCCACCCCTCCAAATGCCTGTGAGGTAGATGATTTCTATATAACTCTTCTCTACATTGATTACATTCATTATTTCGACAAAAGATGCACCATTATTGTTTAGAATTCCCCCCCCCAACATCAGAATTGCTGAAAAGGCATTGAGAAATACTTTGTTTTCTATAGATGGTTATGAGGCTCATATAATGTCACATGGCCACGATAGTGGCCTTGTGATTTTGGATTTTACAAAGAGCCAGATAATGAGGAGATTGGTTTCTGTGCGTCGGGTGTTATGACTGTGCCAGAGAGCCACTCGTGGAAGTCAACTCATGACCTGGGTAGGGGGTGACGGATGAGCCAGTACCACCCCGCTTCCCATGAGACTGCAGTTGCACTGTCACCGCTGGCTCATACCTGGCTTTCCAATAAGCTCTGAGGCAGCGGCCACCTTGTATGCAGTCCAGATGTATTTCTGCCAAAAGCCGCTGGGTTTCAAGATTTGTTTCTGAGTCTCTGGGATCATGGCCGTTAAGCAGCTTGATCAGGAGTCAGAGAGGCCATTTGTAGGCGGCAACTCTGGGTCTTGTTCGGATGGGAGGAAAGGGCCAGTTCAACCCCCATCTGGTGAAGCCCCGCGTGTCTCGTCACTGCAGGCCCAAACCTGGCTGTCCAGTGGCCTCTGGAAGATGACAGTCACTGGGTCACCAGGGGGAACAGGCCAAGGCACGAAACCTATTCCCACCTGGAGTGCCCCAGCGCCAGTAACCTACTGCAAGAACAGGATGCATTTCTGCCAAAAGCCTTTGGGTTTCAAGATTCGTTTCTGAGTCTCTGGGATCATGGCCATTAAGCAGTTCAATCAGGAACCAGAGAGGCCATGCCTCCAATTATATAGCTGAGCCAGAGGTGGTTTGTGGGTGTGTATCCCACGTACCTAAGTTTTGGCCATTTACTTTCTTGTAAATGAAATTTACATTTTGCCCCAAGTCTTTGGGGTATTGCAAAAGGCACAGCATCAATTTGGGGGTATCTGAAAGTCTGACGGTGCCATCAGGCGGCTGATGCACTCGCCTCACCGGTACAGATTGACCTGCTGGTGGCACCATATCCCCGTCAAGCCATTTCTTATGTAACAAGAGATACGTAAGTATTGTTATGAAATTATATTTCTTATAGGTGCTTTCATATCTCTTTTAGAAATGTTTTTGCTGTGTCTACATGTTCCAGTCAGTCTTGTTTTCATTCTAATTTGTGTTCCAGAATTGCTTTATTTATTTTTTGTTTTTTTTCTTTGATCAATAGATTTTTGGTATTATACTAATTATTCTCTAAATATTTTAATTCTCCCATCCCCACAGTTTTCTTCTCATTGCTTATTTCTGCCTTGATGTATTTCAATGTGAAAATATATTTGATATTACTTCAGTCTTCATGACTTTCTTCACACTTGTTTTCTCCAGCATGTGTCTTATACTTATGTCTGTCTAATATGCTCTGCAGAGAAAAATGTATTCAAAATGTTTTAAATATTTTTCCTTTTCACTTCTTTTTTATTTTGCGATTTAGAGCCTTATAAATATCTATTAAGTCTAGCTACTCCAACTGTTCTGTTATGACTGTTGTTTCCTTCTTGATTTTCTCTATGGTTAATCTATTCAGTGATGTGTTGTGTACTAATGTCTTCTAGTACTAATGTCTTGCTGTGATTATATTAGGTAGTTTTTTTATATATTTTTATATAAAATAAGTCATTTAATTCATACATGCACACTCATACATACATTCATATATTTACATTCATATATGTATATTCATATGTTCATATATATTTAACCATATATTGATCTTATTATTGTTATACATCATCATTTTCAAAGAGTCACAGTAATGCTAACTTGTCTTTCTTGAAATTCATAATCATGAATCCTGTCTTAATACTTCATAATGTCAGTATTTGAAATGTTCATATGGTGATTTTTTTCCTAATCTTAAGAAGTCCAATTCATGATATCTAGTTCATGATCAATTATTACCAGTTTTTCTATTGATGATTACATTTGCACTTTATTTAAAAAAGAAAGTTTTAAAAAGTTCTAATCTTCTTATAAAACTATCATTTATGTATTTACTGAATTTTTTTAAACTTTTTTTTTGAGCTCTTATAACTTGACTCCAAATTTTAATTTACTTTCATGGTGAGCAACAGCTCCTTTAGAATACATTTTATGTATTGCTATGGAATTGTTGTGGCAATTACATAATTTTTATTCTATCATAATATTTTTATTTTCTTTAAAGTATTCCTATTAGCACATATAGTATTTTAATTTGAGATCTTGCTTATATGTTTAATAAAAACTAACGGAAAAGGTGTCTCTTGACTTTGAAAATATTTCAACCCCCTTACTAGAGAATAAATTTTTAAAAAATCATGATTTACTTGATGTCTCACCTTTTTTATTATATATTTTCAAACCTTCCCCCTTTAAATTCTCCTAATGAACAAAATCATTCTTTATCAATCACCAGTAACATATGAATTATGCTTTACAAAACTCATTTTTTGTTTCTATAAAATCTCACTGAACAGTACATGAGAATTGTCAAACATTTCTGTTATCTTGATGTATTTTGTATTATGGTTTCTATAACAAGATACTTTTGCTTAATCTATCTTAGAAGCTCGTTCTCTTTTTTTAATTACACATTAACAAAATTAGTATATCTTAATGCTAACATTATATTATTTATTATCTTTGATAGAAAATATTAAAAAGTATGAGCCTGGCACTACTGGGCTTATACAGCACCTTATCTCCAGATTTGAACATTGAATCTTCAGATCTGCTTGAGCAGACTGAGAATCCCTTGACTATTGTTTGAGAAGTTGACACTCTGAAAGAGATTTAGATAGGGGGTTATGGTGCCGCCAGTAGGTCAATGTGTACCTGTGAGGCGAGTACATCAGCACCCTGATGGTGCCTTCAGACTTCCAATTACCCCAAAATTGCTGCTGTGCCTTTGGACAGACCCCAAGAACTTGGGGCAAAGTTTACCAAGAAAGTAAACAGTCAAAAGTTAGGTATGTGAGAGACACACCCAAAAACCACCTCGAGCTCAGCTATATAATTGGAGGCATGGCCTCTCTGGTTCCTGATCAGACTGTTTAATGGCCATGATCTCAGAGATTCAGAAGCAAATCTCGAACCCCAACGGCCTTTGGCAGAACCGTGTCCTGTCCCTGCAGTAGGTTACAACTGCTGGGCCACCCCAGGTGGAAATAGGTTTCGTGCCTTGGCCTGTTTCCCTTGGCAGCCCAATGGCTGCCATCTTCCAGAGGTCACTGAACAGTCGGTTTTGGGCCCGCAGTTATGAGACATGTGGGGCCTCATGGGATTGGGGTGAAGCCGGCCCTTTCCTCCCTATCCCAACAAGACCCCGAGTCACTGCCCATAAACAGCCTCTCTGGCTCCTGATCAAGCTGCTTAATGACCATGATCTCAGTGACTCAGAAACAAATCTCGAAACCCAGCAGCTTTTGGCAGAAATGCATACGGACCCCTCAGTAGGTTACTGTTGCCGGGTCACCCCAGGGGAGAAAGGGTGCTGTCCCTCCGTCTGCTCCCCACTGGTGGCCTGGTGGCCATCATCCTCCAGAGGTCACTGGACAGTCAGTTTGGGGCCCGCAGTGATGAAACACATGGTGCCTCATGGGATAGGGGTGGAGCCAGACCTTTCCTCCCCATCCCAACGAGACCCTGAGTTGCCGCCCATGAACAACCTTTCTGACTCCTGATCAAGCTGCTTAACAGCCATGATCCCAGAGACTCAGGAACATATCTCGGAACCCAGCAAGTTTTGGCAGAAATGTATCCAGATTTAATTGTTAAAAGTTCAGAATTTCAAAATTGTGTGGCTACTACTACAGCCACATGACATCATATGTTATTCATAAACAGTAATAGAAAACAAATTGTCTACTGTTGCCTTTATGGCAGATCCAAGTGTTGGGGTAAAATCCCAAATAATAATGGTGAGTCAGGTGTCAAAATATTGAATGTAATCAAAGTAAAGAGAGAGTAATGTGGAAATCATCTGCCCCACAGGTAGGAGGAGAGTGTGGGATAGGGGCATACTGGGGGTTTGGGTGGTGGAGAATGGGTACTGGTGAAGGTACGGGTGTTTCATTGTATGACCAAGACTTCAACCCGAAAGCTTTGTAACTGCTCTCACGGTGATTCAATAAATAAAATTTTAAAAAATGAAAATAGAAAAAGTAAGGTGGAGTTCATGCCCAATTCAATCAGCCTAATCAGTGGCTGAATAAATAATAATACTCCTACATTTAAAAAAAATGATTTAGATAATCAACATCAAAAAGGAAT